GTAGTCTTTTATTAACTGTAGAAAAGTCGAATATAAATAAAATATTACATCAAATAAATATATTTGGTTGGGATTTACAACCAACATCTAAGTCTTATCTTATACTATTTATTTTATTAAAAATAAACACGTGATTTTTGGAGATGTTAATACCAACGTATTGAGTGTAAAATTTTTTTATCACCTGATCTTCTTTTGTTGTTCTCGTTAGGCGATCATAGACTATTCGCGTTAAATTTAATACTCCTAATGAATCATGTGTACTGATACGTGACACTGCGGTATATGCGAGTTTCTGGCTACACCCTCGTAGATCTACTACTGCTTGTTTTAAAGTAGTGCCTTGGAATTTATATACTGTCATTGCGTAAAATGGTATCACTAGAAATTGTTTTCGTATATATACCTTCTCATTATCATCTTCCTCAGTCATTCACAGACACAGATCATAACTTCTTCCTTGGTGTCATCGAGTCGAATAATCATACCGTGATCAAAATACCTTTCTCCATTATCGATATCAAGATTACGATAATTATATTCTCTTTTTACTCTTATCACAGGATCCCCTTTCTCTTTCTGTGATTGGATCTTGGTCGACCATCCAATGAATACTCCTGATGATCTGTTGACAACTGATTTTGAGTAATTCTGAATGACCATAATACGGCAGTTCAATCGTAATCGTAATACATATTCAGATTGTATATGATTCATGAACAAAAGCTCAAGAGTCTTGTGTTTCTTCAGAAGTTCTCCTACTCTTGAATCTTGACTACTTGTTATTTGTTTTATCATTCGTAAGCTAGGATTGATATTACGAATCTCCTTTATGTAATCTGATATATCAAGCCCTGTTATGATCATATCTTTTCCCAATAATCGATTTATATGATCATTGTTGTACTCATTACGAAATCATTTCTGTGAGAATAACCGTACCGCATCATCCTTTAAATAATTACATTTTTTTAGATACTGAAACGTATCCTCGTTTAAAAATCTATATCGCAAGTTGGTGCAATAATGTTTAAATTCGGGATCGTTCTGTCTAAAGATTTCTGTTAATTCTACGTAAACAAGATCGAGTGATTTCCACGAATCACGAAGTAGTCCGGAGGACTTATCATTGTACCATTCCTTGTTCAAGAAACACATACCACCCGATGCTGGTGGAAGTTGGAAAAAGTCACCGGTG